CGATTTGCAGATCACCAACATTTTGGGGTGCATTTGGGGAAGGGTTTAATACCTGTGCCATGGAGCGTCGTCGTCCATGCTTTGAGACATCGATGTATGCAACTCCGACCCTTGTCCTTGCGTCGGCTTCACTGTTTCAGAAGATCGCCATCGCGAGGGCGTCACTTTAGGCGGTCTGATAAGATCTGGGTGCTGCTCGAACTTGGCTCGGGATTGAATGTTGCAACCCCTCTATCTCTCAAGGTCACGGAATAGGTGGGCGAGACGTGATCGACCTGGGCCCGTTTGCAGCGACACCGTCTGGCTAGGCATGCATGAGAAACGAGAGTCGCATGATCTTGAACGATCGGACAGCTCGCGAGGAGGTTTGCGTCAGCCAAAAAATCAGTCAGTTGAAATAAAGGGTTTTCTTTTAAAAGAGGATCATGTGTATTAAAAAATGTTCAATATATATTAAGAAAACAAAAAAGTTCAGTTTGTCTAAATAACATCCAAAAAGTGAACATACACTAAAAAATTCACTCTACATAGTCAGCGTATATTCAAAAATTAGTTCATCCTACAATAAAAAATAGTTTGGTTTGTAGTATTAAAAAATGTTCATAGTATATTAAATAAAAGCTTGGCATACATTAAAAAGGTCACTATATATGAAATTGTTCACAATATATTATATTAGAACAAATTATAGTATAGAAACCTAAAAGAAAAAAGAAACCAACATAAGGGGAAATGAAAAACACAAAAAGGACTATGAATAAATTAAAAAACAAACTAAAAATAATAAAATAAAACCACAAAACAAAAAACAAAAAAATGATGAACAAAACATATGTGGGTGTGAGGAAAAGCATTAAACTGAGGTGGCACACCCATCATCCATTTACTGTTCACGGGCGTTATCCCATCATGCATTTGTTGCCCGCGGGTGGTGAATAGGATTTGCATGAATTCCCCTTCCCGACCCACACAAAATCCGCTCAGGAAAGGAAAAAATCACTGCCCGCCGTCACTCTCCGTGCGCACTGCCTGATTGGCTGATACGTTACCCGCTGCTACGTGGCCTGTTGACCACCGGCAAAGGACCGGGAAGAAGAGGTGCCTTTGCAGGTGTATTCGGTAATTGCCGTTAATTTGTCATCGACGGTGACAAGGGTTGATGCGGACACCCCAATTATCTGCAAACGGCTAGGCAACCACGTCAACAACTAGCTGGTATGAAATCCTATCTTTATGTATAATCCCATGATCTTATCAATTTTGAGCAGTGCTTTTTAGATAGTATATCTAAATTCAAAGGAAATGACATTTAATTTCTTATAAATATGATAAAACTAATCTTTATTTATTTATAACAAACTTTTATTTCTATAACTTATAAATTCACTGTTTAATTTTACTTATAATGTTTTCCGTTACACATAGAAAAAATGATAACATATTTGTATATAGTTCTAGCACTTATCACACAAACTATACTTTTAGTAAATATATAATATTTTGAAATATATTATTATTATTTTGTATTTGATGCGTTGACTATTCTAAATATTTATTCAATCGAGTGTCCCAAGGTCCAAGAAAAAGAAAAGTTGCAAGACTACATAAATTGATTTGGGGAATAAAAATCAAAATCATAGCATATATGTATGTTCCGTTTGAGGCTTATAAATATCAGCTCTAAAGCATGTTATCTGACATATATCTAAACACAAATTTCTAGAATGTATGGTTGTCTATTGATACCTGGGTCTTGCATTGTAATAGCAGTAGAAAATGGAATTCTGATGAAGAAGCAATCAGGTTTTGAGTGTACATTTGGTGCCACACACATCCTAATTTTATTAAAGGGAAATTATATCTGGCGAACATTCACGGGGAAGGTTTTCCCCGCAAACGCCATGTTTGCCGTTTGATCTCGTGGCCTGGATCTTGGTGCAGGGCTGATGCCACGTCAGGTTTTTTGAACTGTTAGTTGCAACCAGCTACTAGGGCGAACGCTCCTTTATGTTCTCCCAAAAAAACAACATGAGATCTGATTCTGAGGAAGAAGAAGCAATCAGGTCTTATGTGCTAAAACTTGCATATATCTTGTGAAGCTAAAATGTTTTAAATTCAATGTTTCATTCAAAATTTTCGGACCGGCATGTACTTGCAATTATCCTAATTAATAAAGGGATTCTTGTTAAAACTAGGGAGTAATAAAAACAGGAGAGAAAAAGCAACTAAATGTAGCCTACCCCCGTGAGTGTGATTGTTGATTGCAGTTTAGTTTGTATGGTGATCCTGAGAAAGATTTCGTTGTACATGATCCAATTTGAATCTGATATCCGAGTAAAATTCAGGTAGCATTCTACAAGTTTCTGTGGATAGGGGAAAATGAAATGGACACAAGTAGCGTCCTTGGGGCCAACTCTAATCAATTCAACTACGAGTTGCTGATTCTACAACCTACAAACTACTTCCTCCGTTCCTAAATATTTGTCTTTCTAGAGATTTCAACAAATAACTACATACGGAGCAAAATGAGTGAATCTACACTCTAAAATATGTCTATATACATCCGTATGTGGTAGTCCATTTGAAATCTCTAAAAAGACAAATATTTAGGAACGGAGGGAGTAATAACAAATTTAGCTGCCATGACCACACGATGCTCTGTGTTACGGAACACCAGGAACGGTTTTATTATAAAACACTATTTCAGGAAACAGACAAAAGAAAACAATTCTTGCAATGCATTGCTAACAGGGCATGGACTTTACTCCTACAGTATAAGCATGAGAGATGCGGAAAAAATAACAACCAATTTCATATAACTAGTCCATCAAGGTACCAACCGCCTAATATCGGGAACTGAACACAAGTATACCAAGTCACTGACAAGCCACCAAAAGAGCTAGGTGCGAAAATATCAGTTAAAGCACTCGGTATGCAAGCTAAATCATGCTATTAGCTGGCCATATGCAGCAAGAACAAACACCCTGGAGAAACACACGCTCAAAAATCAAAAGCTTCTGCAATAAATAAATAAAGACAATTCCCAAAACATGCTACTAAAATAGTATTATGTGTACTGAAGGAGTCTTGTTAGACACACAGATGCATATTCAGAATTCCATTTTACTGTAATTTTATTATGACTAGTTTCAAGATTCTTTGATATCTATTCCACCAAGGCATCAACTGCTTAAAATTGCAAACCGAAATGCAAATTATAACAAGTCACAACTAAGCCACCAGAAAATACAAGTGTAACAAGTCACAAAACTGAAGAGATTGTGTAATAAAAGAAATGAGAAATAAGAAAAATTGCACTCTTAAAAGAGGTTGTGCAGTAAAAAAGAGGAAAACAAGCAAGTTGCTATTGACAATTACCAGATCTTTGCTAGATGTATGTATAAAGGGATTCTTGTTAGAAGTGCATGTTCGAAATTCAGTTTATTCAAAGGTCATTATAGATACTTCTCCAGGCACAAAAGGTACATACAAACTAGGGAGTCCTCTCTCAACAAAGGATGAACACAAACATAATAATGAGCCCTAGCAGCCAATGTAACATAGCAGTATTCCACACAAAGTATGAAGAAGATGAAAATCCAAACTTGCATCAAACTTATTAGGTTCAGCATCGTGCCGTTTGGTCCTTCACCCTGGCGAGGAGAGTGCGCGCAGTGTCTTCCTGCGAAACATGTACGCATCGGTGATGTTAGAGATCTGAACAACGAACCATGGAAGAAGGTATTCGTTGAGCCAGCAACGCTTACCGTTAGGGCTCGACATCAGCCAGCGACGATCTCTAGCCCATGAAAGGGGCAGAGCGGCTGCTATGATGTGCACCAGGACGCGGCTCTTTCTCCAAAATGACATTGGCCGGCGCCAACGTGACAGAGGATGATGGTGGCGCTGTTTGCCCCGATGCTAAACTTCGCTTGACGGCCTCAATTAGATCGGGCCACATTTCCATGACTTGTGCTGTCGCCATGGCTTTGGCTTTCACCTCGACTTCCTCTCTCATTTCTTCTTTAAGTTCTTCTCTCATTCCAGCCAATCTGGATTCAAAACTAGCTCGGCCGGCTCTCCTTCTCTGCCTCGCAAGCTCGCGGTCTTCGGGATAATGCGTGTCCCATTTTTCATTCAGCCCGACGCCGTTCACACGACCATAAGCCGGCCTCGTTTTCGGGTCCTTGCCGAGCACCACGTTGATCGACCTGTTCAGAGGGTCGTCCCACCTTGCCGAGGACTCCGACTCCTGGGAGCTTTGAGATTCCACATGATACTGCCTCTACAATACGGAGGTGACAGTTTAGAAATGTGACTACTTGGAAAGAAATCTATACTTAATTAGTATAACAAAAAAATAAGCAGGTTAATCAATTACCAGGAGTTCCTTGACTTTCGCCGTCTTCTCGTCCAATACCCATGTCTTAGTCTCTTCATCGTATTTGCACCGGCCCCTGATGTAATCATTTTCACGCGGGTTTTCAAATTCCTTGAAGGGGTTTGGTATGCCTGCTGCAGCAAACTCAGCGTCCTGCTTGTCCCACTTCGGCTTCTTCCCTGGGTAACCACGGCTTCCAAGGGTGTGGTGACCAATGTTCCTTGCCCGCATTTCCTTCCCCCATTTCTCCATCTCCTTGACTTCAGGGGTCTCGCAGTGCTGCTTGAACAGGTTCCAGTCCTCCTCAGAAACCGAAGGCCACTTCTTTTTTATCTCGGTTTCGTAATCTTTCTCAAGGTATTCGCTTTTGGCTTTGGATTTCCAACTACTCAAAAGCTTGGTCCACTTGCAGAGGGCTGTGTTATTTACCGGAGTGGTCTCGTCTAGGGACTCATCCGGGAACTTGTAATGAGTGTGCAGCTTCGATATGAGGAGTGCTCGCAAATTCTCATTGGCTTTCGACCTGAGATTGGTTTCATTAATGCTCACGGTTTCGCGAAGGATGCAGCCTAGGCCATTACTGTAACCTTGTTCAGCCTTCTTGGGACTAAGAGGTAGACCAGCCTCAGACACTCGGTTGATAACAATCCTATCGGTGCCAAGCATGTTTGGGCGCCTAGGTTTGCGTTGCTTTTTAGGTTGTCCAGCTGCCTGGTCCCCTTGGCCGGTCCCTTCGTCGCGATCGGTTGCATCTTCAGGATTTGTGGCGGTGCCGGACTCATCATGAACAGTGGATGTGTAGTCGTCCTGCCCATCTGTGTATGTGCCCAAGGCGTCGGGGCCGCCATGACGTGATGACGGTTCTACAGCTTCATCACCCGCGCTTATCGTCCGCGAAGAAGAGGCTGCAGCGGAGTCGTTTCCAGAAATATCTGTAAATTGTCAAATAAAAGAATTAAGCTACACAAAATGTAACTACATATAAAAATGCTATAGAATTACTAAAACAATATCTATAAAATCTATAATTACTGAAAATTTCTATGAACGAAATATTTGCTAGGAACTAGAATTAAAAATCCCCCTGTTATGGGATTCGATTCTTCTTGGGTTATCAATGGCTTATAACCATATAATGTTCTGCAGGTGTCGCAGCTGGGACAGATAGCAATCAGTTGGGCTTTGGGCTATAAGGATGTTATTCCATCTATTTCAGCAGGCTACTAAGACTTGTCATGTCCATTTATTTAGTTGCAGATTTATCTACAACTTCAAGCAGTGGGATCTAATCACCAACTAGATAATCTCATTGTAAGAAATTTTTTTGGATAACTCCTGAGAAAATAACTAGCAGCAGTTATGATGGCCCTTTTCACCAAAAGTACAAATTAGGGGGGACTTACAATCCAGTGATGCCTCCATGTGAGTTGGTTTTTTGTCACCCTGTAACCCTACACCTCTACCAGTGTACAGCTACAGGTCTCTAGGTAATCTATTTGGTGATTACTACTACCGACGCGATGCGGGACTAAAAAGATTTATTTACAGTGGTAGTACAGTCTTCCGCTTACCGGAGCGGCCATTGGTCGGGGCCTCCCCCCTGCTTCCACCGCGTGTGAGTCGAGTGCGCTGCAACGACGGCAACGCAGTCTCCGGTGCGCATGCCTCCCTCGCCCTCCTCCTCGTCATTCGTGGAACGACGACAACAAGGTCTTGGATGTGCACACCTCCCTCGTCCTCTCCGGTCGCTGCCTTTAACTGCATAACATCATTTTGTACTGAACCTGCCAAATGCTGGAATCTGCTCTCGACATCCTCATTAACCTGACCTGTAGAAACACCATCAATTGGGCATTTCAGTAGAACATATACTTCTGAATATAGATCATGAAAATTTGTCAGCTTAAAGAAAATCTAGAGTCCACGTTTTCAACCGACTCGGGAGCACTATCACTTACAAAAAGCACAGACAAGTCGACCTTACATGCCCAAGGCTTCACTTAATGATATAAATAGTTAAATACCACTGCATATTCATACATAGGACCCCTGCTTGATGCTATAAGCACCACTAACTACACTGCCAGAGAATATGTAACTTCCTCAATACCTCTTCCATACTTTATTATACGCATCAGTAGTTCCAACCATGTATAAAAATGCCCCTTTATGGGATTGGATTGCTCTTGGGTTATTCATACCTTTATTCGAAGAACTATCTACAGCTTCAAGCAGTGGAAAAATGTTAATCATGTACTAAAAATGTTAATCATGTATTCACAAATTTTCTATATAAGAAAAATTTATTAGATATATACCCAAAAACGTAATATGTGCATGGAAAAAAAGAAGACATCAATATTCTAAAGAAGTAGACAACCAAAAATGTATGTTTTCAGAAAATGTTAATAATGTATTTCAAAAATGTTTCTAATGTATACAAAATATTGTAAACTGGGAAAAAGTTAACATGTCTTGAAAAAAAAAGATGAAAATCGACAGAAAAGCAAAAAATAAAAAAAGTATAACGAAGAACGAAAGAAAACCAGTTAAAAAAAATATAAAATTTATAACAAAGAAAAAAGAAACAGAAAAAAGCAAAGAATAACTAAATAAATAAAACCCTATAAAACTTGAAAAACTATAAAACCGGAGAAAAACAAAGAAAAATATAAAAAAGAGGGAAACCATTGAAGAAATAAAGATTGGTAAACCAGAAGGATATATCATACATGGGAACTGGGTTTCCAGCTTAGAAAACAAATCAAAAAAGTGACGCTGAAGTAGGAGATAAAAAAAATCTCCTTATTACTCCCCCCTGTTCCAGCGCCCTGTAACCCTATTACTGCGCAGCTACAAGTCTTAGTTAATCTACTCGGCGGTTAACTACCGATGTGGAACTAGAGAGTCTTGTACTTACCGGAGCGGCCACTGGTCGGTGCATCCACCCTGCTTCCAGCGCGCGTGAGTCGAGGGTGCTGCGCCGAGGGCAACGCGGTCTCCGATGCGTGCACCCTCCTACTCGTCTCTGGCACCATGACAGGATAGTTGCCAGCTGCACCGAACTCAGTGTCCTGCTTGTCCCACTTTGGCTTCTTCCCTGGGTAACCACGGCTGCCAAGGGTGCGGTTACCAATGCTCTTAGCCCACATATCCTTTCCCCATTTTTCCATCTCCTTGACTTCAGGGGTCTCACAGTGCTGCTTGAACAGGTTCCAGTCCTCCTCGGAAACCAAAGGCCAGATCTTTTTTATCTCAGTTTCGTAATCTTTCTTAAGGTATTCGCTTTTGGCCTTGGATTTCCAACTACTCAAAAGCTTGGACCACTTGCAGAGGGCTCTGTTATTTACCGGAGTGGTCTCGTCTAGGGACTCATCCGGGAACTTGTAATGAGTGTGCAGCTTCGATATGAGGAGCGCTCGCAAATTCTCGTTCGCTTTCGACCTGAGATTGGTTTCATTAATGCTCACAGTTTCGCGAAGGATGCAGCCTAGGGCATTCCTGTAACCTTGTTCGGCCTTCTTGGGACTAACAGGTAGACCCTCCTCAGACACTCGGTTGATAACAATCCTATTAGTGCCGAGCATGTTTCGGCGCCTAGGCTTACGTTGCCTTTTGGGTTGTCCAGCTGCCTGGTCCCCTTGGCCGGTCCCTTCATCGCGATCGGTCGCATCTTCAGGATTTGTGGCGGTGCCGGACTCGTCATGACCAGTGGATGTGTAGTTGTTCTGCCCATCCTTGTATGTGCCCAAGATGTTGGGACCGTCATGACGTGACGACAGTTCCACAGCTTCATCACCCACGTTTAGCATCTGCGAAGAAGAGGCTGCGGCGTAGTTGTTTCCAGACATATCTACACATTGTCAAATAAAAGAATTAAGCTACATAAACTGTAACTACATATAAAAATGGTATAGAATTACTAAAAAATATCTATGAATTTATAATCACTAAGAATTTCTAGGAACTAAATATTTGCTAGGAACTAATTACCTATGAACTAGAATTAAAAAAACCCTTTTATGGGATTGGATTGTTGTTACGTTATCTATGGCTTGACCATATAATGCTCTGCAGGTGTCACAGCTGGGAGAGATAGCAATCAGTTGGACTTTGGGCTATAAGGATGTTATCCCATCTAGTTTCACTAGTAGGATACTAAGACTTGTCATGTCCATATCTTTATCTGAAGATTTATCTACAGCTTCAAGCAGTGGGACCTAATCACGAACTAGATAATCTCATTGTAAGAGAATTTCTGGATAACTGATGAGGAAATAACTAGCAGCAGTTATGATAGGCCTTTTGACC